GTTTTAATAACGGATTTTCTATAATTCAGCTACTCACATTTCGAAAATATTTTTTTTTCTACCACGTGAGGATTTTTTACAAATCGGAAAGAAAAAACTCTTACTTAGATCAAATTATTATTTCATTTACCACAATGAACATTTTTTATTATTATCTTTGTTAACAAAATACAAACAAACTGAAGAAAAAGGAAGAACATTGATGTCAAACGAATATGCGTCCTCATTCATCCTGATTTTTTTGTGAAATCTACGTCTTTTATTCTCAAAACTACGTGTTCTTTTATGTATGATGATTTGTAAATAATATATACGTGATGGAGAAAAATGGATATTTTCGGATTCAGCGTACAGGAGTAACTGTAGAACATGTAAAATTTTCAAGACAATAAAACCATCGCAGGCCTGTGTAATCAAATGTATGTTTTTAATAATGAATATATTTTAGTCTCTAATCTAAGATACATTTTTCGAAACTCATTCTTCTTCATGTCACATGATAAAAATAGTGTTATGTAATAGTTTACTTTAGAGTTTTAAATGAGATAATCTAGAAAAAAAAACATGCGGCTCTATGTTTTCAGCAATGTAGAACGCGCACTACTGGGAGTTTGTGAGTGAGTTTTTTTTTGTTTTTTTTGCATGTGGTAATAAATTTCTTTTTATAATGTTGTATCTTCAGGGAAATAAACAGAAATAGACTAAAGCAGCTTCCTGAAGCCCTACACAGTCTTCCACACCTACAAGAACTGTAAGTATAGTTGTAATTCATAACAGATTTAACGTTACATAACCTAACGCTCAAAACTAACACGTCACACTTAAAAAGTTAATTTGTGAATATGTTGATAAACTAGCCTAAACCGTTAATGGTATTCTATAGAATACATTTCATCAGGTTACCGCTGATATGGAGCGGGTATTATCAGCAATTAGGAAGCATAAAATATTTCTAGAAATATTTGAATAGATTTCAAGAAATCTTCACCACGAGTAGATGATTCTTTTCTAAACTGAGTTTTTTAACAAATTTGTTTTATCTCTTTCCAGGACATTTGCTGATAACCAAATCACCCACATCTCTGCAAATGCCTTTCAGAACAACCCACAACTAACACTGTTGGAAATGGGTCATAACCCTATTGTAGATGTAGGAAGACGAACTTTTACCAACCTCCCGGATCTAAAAGAGTTGTAAGACCAGCAGAGCTTTTTTTATATATTGTGCATATATATATATATATATGTTAATTTCCTAACGTTTCAGATATACACCTTCATCAACGGTTAAAAGAGCTATAAGACCGGCAAAGGTTTTTTATATATTGTGCATATATATATATATATATATATATATATATTAATTCCCAACGTTTCAGATCTACACCTTCATCAACGGTTAAAAGAGCTATAAGACCGGCAAAGGTTTTTTATATATTGTGCATATATATATATATATATATATATATATATTAATTCCCAACGTTTCAGATCTACACCTTCATCAACAGTTACAGCTGCTGGCATTAATCAGACCTTACAACTAGTAAATCTTGATGAAAGTGTAAAACCATCAAGAAATAGATACCATCAGTATTTGTTTTCTTATCTGAAGATTAAGGGCGTTTGTTTCCAAAGTGTCGAAAATAATCCAGTTCACATTACGTATTCTGAAAGGAAAAAGCATTAGCTTGTAGATCTTGTATTATAAATATCATATTCAACACATTTAACTCAGTAAGATGTCCATACGATCTGTGTATATATTTAGACAAGAATAAATAATAACGACACGTCGACATGCAATTTTATTTAAAAACAATGATAATAAAGCTGCACAGTGGGCCATCTGTACTATGCCCACCACGAGGATCGACCCCGGTTTTTAGTGTTATAAGCCTTCAGACGTACCACTGAGTCACTGTATGGGGGGCGTAAAAGACCAAAAACAAAACGGAAAAACGATTGATAACCTTGCAGATATTTTGTCAAATCATATTTTTGATTTTTTAATTTGATTTCTAATTCTTAAATAAATGAATATTTTTTTCTGATTTACGCGTCTACTCTGCAATAACAGTGGTTTATAATAGTGGCATTATTACAGGAAAGCTGATCAATTTGGTCAAAGAGGAATTCTGTAACCTTACGTAATAATTATTGTTTATGTAAAACATGCATTTAGTAATAGCCACCCATTAAAATTTCCATCTATTCAGGTATAACACGCCTCTTGCACATTAGTGTATTACTTTGAGAGTTACCACGCAACTAGTTGAGTTAACCACTTAACAACTTATGATTTGTCTACGTTTTAACAATGATTATGGTGACACAATCCAAATTCTCGTCTTCTATAGATATATACACCTTGATATTTGGACATATTAAATATCATATTCTCTCTCTCACACACACACACACACGCATTTTGAGTCAAAACTTAAGCCATTTTCAAAAACGAAATGCTCTACATGTATTACGATAAAGATGTCTCCAATCTGGAAGTTAATAAAAAAACAAATTTCATGGTAAATAATTTTTTATCTGTGTCGGGCGTACCCTAGTTGTTAGTGGTCTGGATTGTATTTTCCCATTGTTGCAAAAATGTGTTCTGGGTTTTGGGTTCGTGGGCTCTTTATAAGAGTGACGTTCAAGTTCTACTATTCAACCCAAGAGTATCCCAAGTCAGAGTTAGCAGTGGGTGCTGTTAAGTAGCTTTCTCCACCTATAGTTTATCGTTACAAAATGAGAGACGCCCATGTGCAGATAACGAAGATCCCAAATAAACACATATTTTCTTATCTACACGCAGAGTAAGCTTTTTTACCATATATACTTTTAATATTATTTATATAACTTCCAAATGTTTTTGGAGTAACATTTCAAAGATACAAATTCAGAGATGATCAATCTGTATTTATACTGAAATTTAATATTAAAAAGTCGTTTTTAAACTAGTTAATTGACTTCTGTTTTCTGAACTTTTCAGGGTTCTCGGAGAAGCTCAACATCTGAAGGAATTCCCGGATCTAACTGGCACAGGTGCATTGGAACATCTTCGTTTGGATAGAGGCTTACTGGAAAAAGTACCTCCCAGATTTTGCACACAGATTCCACTGTTGAAAAGCTTGTAAGAAATAGTTTTTTAAGAATAATTGATATTTTTGATACTTGTATAATGATTATTGAACATTTCGAGGGATTCTGTGTGATCAAATTCGTTTTTGAATTTTTTTCTGAATGTTATTACTTTTATATCCCACACATATGTACTGTTCTAGCGTTATCTCACACACATGTGCACTGGTCTAGCGTTATACACTACGCATTTGTACTTCTCAAGCGTTATATCCCACTCAGGCGTACTGATCGAGCGTTATATCCCACTGACGTGCACTGCTCCAGCGTTATATCCCACTCATGCCTACTGCTCCATTGTTATATTCCACTCATATGCACTCCACCAGCGTTATATCCCACTCATGTCCACTGCCCATTGCTATATCCCACTCATGTGCACTCCTCCAGCGTTATATCCCACTCATGCTCTATTGTTATATCCCACTCATGTGCACTCCTCCAGCATTATATCCCACTCATGCCCACTGCTCCATTGTTATATCCCACTCATGTGCACTCCTCCAGCGTTATATCTAACACATGCCCACTGCTCCAGCGAGAATGTGACCAATGTTAAACTTCTTCAAATGAATATAATATACCACTCACGTGCACTGCTCAAGTGTTATATCCCACACATGCAATCCTCCAGCGTTATACCCCACTCACGTGTACTGCACCAGCATTATACCTCACTCATACCCACTGCTCCAGCGAGAATGTGACCAATGTTAAACTTCTTCAAATGAAGATAATATACCACTCACGTGCATTGCTCCAGCGAAAATGTGACCAATGTTAAACGTTTTAAAATAAACAATCACTAAGGTTGTAACTTTTTTACTCGTCCATCAAACTTTTATCATTATGGCAAAATATTTTAAGATTTAATGCTTAGTGCAAAATTTTGATTACTTGGATATAACTTTTGTACAGGAATATTTTCCAAAGTAATTAGAAGTAAAAGCTGGCATTGGACTATTTTACATTTGTAACTTATATTAGGTATGTTTTGGTTGAATAAGTCGACTCATTTGTAACATGATTTTCTAATATTAAGTTACTTAACAAAAAGTTATCCATTCTATATCACAATATCTTACAGTAGAAGAGGAATTCGAAACCGTTGTTTTGTTTTTCTTCGGGATTATTCTGGGTCCAACCACACATGATGTAAACATTAATATAATGGAACGTAATTAGCCTGAACACATGTCTTTTCGAATAACTGTCTTTACGATTTTTGATTTGAAGAAGAATAAGTTTCAAGTGTTTTTGATTTGAAGAAGAATAAGTTTCAGCAACATTGCTTATTTTCACAGGAGTCTTAAATCCAATCGACTTTCAAGCCTTCCTGAGGTTGTAAACTGTACGAAACTACGACTCATGTAAGACATTTCATATGTTTTCAAACTTTTATTTTTTTATATACAAGATTATCGAAAAGTTATTGCTGAAAATATCGTTCAAGTCGAGGCTATCCAAATGATGAAACAATGCATTATAATCTTTATAAGTAAAAAATCTAAGAAAATTGTATTTAATTAGCTATACTGATAGCCAGGTTGATTTTTTTGTTTTTGTCTAACAACTTAGCTTGCTTTAATCAGAATCTAAAATTAATTAATAACTGTTCAATTTTAACGCCCAAAGCTCGAAAATTAATTATCACAGAATTAGAATATTTGACAGATTAACTAATGAAACGATAAGATAACCGACTCCAGTGCCAAAATTAATTACCATAAGGAAAATTGTTCTGTATGACGACTATTCATTGCACTGTTGCTTGTATTCGTGAGAGAACATGACGACTACCCATTTCCAACAGTCGTGCTTCATGTCTGATACTATATTTCATGTCTGTCAAGGCATCGGGCCCGTCATGATATACCTAATGTAAACAACAACAACACAAACCGACGGGAACGAGACATTAGAGATCGTGCTAGTCTTGTGTGCGGAAAATGTACGATGATCACTCGTTTTTTTGAAAGCATCCTGTCCCAGCAACGTCCTGGCAGCCCATATAATCTGGAGTACACTAGCAACGTCTTGACAGCCCCTATAATCTAGAGTCCACTAGCAACGTCTTGATAGCCCTATAATCTGGAGTCCACTAGCAACGTCTTGGCACCCCCTATAATCTGGAGTCCACTAGCAACGTCTTGACAGCCCCTATAATCCGGAGTCCACCAGCAATGTCTTGACAGCCCCTGTAATGTGAAGTCCACTAGCAACGTCTTGACAGCCCCTATAATCCGGAGTCCTCCAGCAATGTCTTGACAGCCCCTTTAATGTGGAGTCCACCAGCAATATTTTGACAGTTCATGCAATATGGAGTCGACCAGCAACGTTTTGACAGTCTGTGCAGTGTGGAGCCAACCAGCAACGTCTTGACAGCCTCTGTAATGTGGAGTCGACCATCAACGTCCTAATTAACAGCCCCTGTAATATGGAGACTACCAGCAATGTCTCGATAGCCCCCTGTAATGTGGTGTCCACCAGCAACGTCTTAACAGCCCCTGTAATCTGGTGTTGACCAGCAACGTTTTGATAGTCCGTGTAATGTGGAGTCGACCAACAACGTTTTGACAGTCCGTGTAATGTGGAGTCATCCAGTAACGTTTCGACAATCCGTATAATGACAATGTGTTCCAACATGGATTGGCAGCATTCATCTTTAACTCTCTTTATGGAAAATCATATTTGTGTACTCCTCATAAACGTGTGTATTAATGGATGTTATACCCGAATAAATGGAAATTTTAGTATGCGACTATTATTAAATGCATGTTTCACATAAACTTGTGTTAACACTCATATATTTTAACCTTTTTATCATGCATTGCTCTCTCTTCAAATGATAGTTTAGCTGGAGATGGAGTTTTACCTGTTCATAAGATTTAGTTAGCTATGTATTGGTTATTACTAGGCTCAAGTTTGCCGGTGGGTCAGCAGTAGGTTTATGGACTTATAGCACTAAAATCCGGAGTTAGAAAAGTTAGTAAGTGGGACAAACTATCAGCAGACTTGAAATTAGGGAAACTATTTTGTAGTTTTGACACGTTCATGCTTTCAATAGCACATTGTCAACGTGAGACTGAAAATAACGCATGAATGTGTAAAAATTAGTTTCTCTATTTTCCAGTCTACTGTTCTTTTTATTGTGGGTTTTCACTAACGTGTTGATTGTGAGTGTCCGATGTGTTCAGCAATTTCCTTTAAAACCAACCACTGTTTACCTGATTTATGCCACAACTACAACTAGTGTTATAGAGCGATTATATCAAAAGCTGAATCATCAATAGATTCTGTTTGTCCAACTATTTTTTATTACACTTGGAATAAGCAGAATAAGTAATGCTTTACAGGAGATATTTTAACGCTACTCCAATATTGTTACTAGTGTTGTAGTAATGCTTTACAGGAGATATTTTAATGCTACTCCAATGTTGTTACTAGTGTTGTAGTAATGCTTTACAGGAGATATTTTAACGCTACTCCAACGTTGTTATTAGTACTGTAGTAATGCTTTACAGGAGATATTTTAACGCTACTCCAATGTTATTATTAGTACTGTAGTAATGCTTTACAGGAGATATTTTAACGCTTCTCCAATGTTGTTATTAGTACTGTAGTAATGCTTTACAGGAGATATTTTAACGCTACTCCAATATTGTTATTAGTGCTGTAGTAATGCTTTACAGGAGATATTTTAACGCTACTCCAATATTGTTATTAGTGCTGTAGTAATGCTTTACAGGAAATATTTTAACGCACAAAGATTAGCTACCAGGAGCCATTTCTAAAAGCAGAGTGAATGTGATGCTTGTTTTAGACGGTTCGAGGTAGACAATTATCACGATCACCGTTCCTGATTTATAGTATTAAAACTGTTTTTCACGTCGGCTCATTACCTCATCAATCAAATATTATAGCATGCTAATGATTAGAACACGCCAAGTAACTCTGTATATAAAAGTCAATAAAAAATCATATGTAGTGGAAGTTTATGAAAATTCTGAAATTGCGTTATTATTCTTTTCCACCGCCTTTATGAATAACTGGAAGAAGAGTTTCTTTAACAGATATTTTGCTGGCTCTTAGAAAACAATATTAAGCTCAGTTCGAGGTTTCTTTCAAATGATTTATTTTCGAGATCAAATTTTCTATACATTTTTAAGTGTCAGGTTAACACTCAACTTACAGAAACAGGTTTTAAGTTAACTTTCAGTTCATATATTCATCAATTAAACAGGATACATATTTAATTAATTATCTGCTAGTCTTCGCTAAACTTAGCAAAAAATGAATACACGAAGAACATACTAGTATGACAGCTTTTACACGTGACGTATCTCTTAGGCTTAACACCACATAGTCAGTATCACAACTGATGAACCTACGAAATAAAAATATTTTTTATGTTTTAGAGATTTGAGCTACAACCGTATTGAATACCTGGGAGAATTTTCATTCAGAAGTCAGAAGGATTTAATCGATCTCTTTCTTGGTAATAACTTTATCGAGCGCATCTTTCAGAATACATTTGTTGGATTGACAAGTCTTCAAGTATTGTAAGTATAAGAAAATCTTATATTTCTTATTAAGTTCTAGGGTTAAAGTTTTTTGTGTGTGTTTATTTACTTCAGCAAAAACTGTGATATACAACATATATCAGTTTACTTTGATACATTAAAACTGATACTAAATTATCAAATGATCTAATAATAGAAACTAACAACAGGAGCTGATTATATTTTTTATAAAACATCATTTATTTATATAGAGTGACACAAAAGTTTGAACTGATTATATTTTATATAAAATATCATTTATTTGTATAGAGTGACAAAAAGTTAGAGCTGATTATATTTTATATAAAACACAATTTATTTGTATAGAGTGACACAAAAGTTAGAGCTGATTATATTTTTATAAAACATCATTTAGTTGTATAGAGTGACACAAAAGTTTGAACTGATTATATTTTATATAAAACATCATTTATTTGTATAGAGTGACACAAAAGTTAGAGCTGACTGTATTTTTTATAAAACTACTTATTTATATAGAGTGACACAAAAGTTAGAGCTGATTATATTTTTTATAAAACCACTTATTTATATAGAGTGACACAAAAGTTGGAGCTGATTATATTTTTTATAAAACCACTTAATTATATAGAGTGACACAAAAGTTAGAGCTGATTATATTTTTCATAAAACATCACTTATTTATATAGAGTGACACAAAAGCTAGAACTGATTATATATGTTTATAAAACATCATTTATTTGTGTAGAGTGACACAAGATAGAGCTGATTATATTTTTTATAAAACATCACTTATTTATATATAGAGTGACACAAAAGCTAGAACTGATTATATATGTTTATAAAACATCATTTATTTGTATAGAGTGACACAAAAGCTAGAACTGATTATATATGTTTATAAAACATCATTTATTTGTATAGAGTGACACAAAAGTTAGTTTCCCCACTCTCTTTTGTATAGATAACATTTGATATATAACATCAAAAGTTAAAGGTCGTTGTTTGTCAATATTGGCCTAAAATCAATATATTCTATGACCATTCTTGTGCATAGATTTCATAATGTAAGTAGCACCATTCAACGTTTAAAAATGCACAATAATGTTCATTGAATGGTCTTACACGTTGAATGGTGTTACATATTTTATGGGCCTAACATGGTTTGAACCACCATGTATGTGAACTAATGCATTTCTTCAAATTGAAAAAAAAAGGAGAAAGTTTTGAACACGACATGAAAACATTACACTTGAATGCAATCTTGAAATGATACTTACACGTTTCTCATCCCCTGATATGAGATTTTATTACTGTTCTGCTCATGCTAATGGCTTTAGAACGACAGAACCCTATTTTGTCTACAGGTTTAATAATTTCCTGATTTGCTGTTATGATTATTGCTTTAAGTAGGTTTATTGTTTTCGTACAAAGGCGTGACAGTCCTTACTCTGCCAGTTTTATTTATGCTCTTCTTGTTTCCAAAGTTTGAATAGCTCTGGCAATTTCGTCAACCGTAAGCATGGCTCTTAGAAATCGCCATTACATGGACTCAGTTATAGACTTCATGACAGCAATTGGTGTGAAAATCGCCATTACATGGACTCAGTTATAAACTTCAGGACAGCAATTGGTGTAATTATCAGAGACTGAATAGTCAGAAGCATACTTTACAAGTTCGGCTTAGAGTTGAGATGTATTGCTTCACTAGTATTTGCAACAATATCGGTGCGTTCCTGGACTATTTATAAATGCGTTAGTGATTCACATCTCCACATCTAATGATGAATAGTCAACGATGAACGCTTTTCTTAGTAAAACATCATTAAATATGGCCTTTCCCGTGGCGGCCTGGTTTTGGTGTGAGTAAGCATCATTATGAAGAGGCTTACAGATTTGATTGTGCTTCTGAGAGGGTGGATTTATTGCCTGACGAGTTGTTAACGTGATATTGGGTGATATATTAAAGAATTCTATCAGACTAGATTTTGATCTGATGCACGAAAAATGTTGGTGTCATGCTGCCAAAATTGGATGAACTACTTTGAACAAAATATGAGAAAGGTTATATATTTATCAAAGAGAAATCGTGATCCTAATCTTGGACGCTATGTACGTCAACTTTTTTTTTAACTTATTAGGTGTTGTCAGAGAGTTTGGCATAACGTCGATTTAGAAATTGGCTTGAATGGTCGGAAACATAACTTTGACTCTTCTGAATCTGAAGATACCAATGAAACTGATTTAGTAATTATATTCATTAAGTGAATGTCCTTATAAAATACTTTGAATTCCATCTTTGCACATTTGTTTGAATACTAATTTAATTATAGAATTTTGTCCTATTAATTGCTTAGAATAGTATACTGTTTTGTGTCATTTTTAAAGCATTAATAAGGTAATATGGAATGTAATTGATACAAATTGAATATTTGGATGAAATTTTAGTGGGTTAATTATTATGATTTTCTTCTTTTTTTCTCCTTGGGAAAATCTTTAATGTGATGATGAAGAACTGTTTAGCCTAACTTATTCATACATTTACGAGTTTATAATATATTTTCTGAGTCTGTATGATTTATATATATATATATTTCCTGATCTGCCAAATCAGTTTGTTTTCAATAGAACCTGTTTATCCTAACTTATTCATACATTCACCAGTTTATGTTTTCTGAGTCTGTATGATTTATATATTTCCTGACCTGCCAAATCAGTTTGGTTTTAATACTAATTAAAAACAATAAACTTTTCTTCGAAACGTAGAATTATATGTATTATTAAAAATATCAACTGTTTGTTTTAGAGATTTGAAGGACAACCGCATAATACACATTGATTATGATGCTTTTGTGCCAGTGGCTGAGCTGCGGGATTTGTAAGTTGATTTTTCCAGAAAGAAAATTTATTCTTAAGTGGAAGAAAATGAAGTAAATTTGTTTGTTTGTTAGCATCAAGTTTTCTAGGTAAAAACCATTGTAGTTTTCAACATTAAGCTTAACATTAAGGACTCCAGTGACTTCGCGAACCTCGAAGATTAAATAAAATAAAGATTGTTAAACTACCTGATCAATAATATTATCACGTAATGAAGAGCGTTAAAGTATCTGATCAATGAGATTATCAAGTAATAAAGAGAGTTAAATTACTTGATCAATGATATTATCACGTAATGAAGAGCGTTAAAGTATCTGATCAATGAGATTATCACCTAATAAAGAGAGTTAAATTACTTGATCAATGAGATTATCACGTAATAAAGAGAGTTAAATTACTTGATCAATGACATTATCACGTAATAAAGAGCGTTAAACTACCTGATCAATGACGTTATGACGTAATAAAGAGCGTTAAATTACCTGATCAATGATATTATCACGTAATAAAGAGCGTTAAACTACCTGATCAATGATATTATCACATACATTTACCGAATATTTTTGTCCTTATATTACTGTTTCTGAGATACACTCAAAAACCAAATTAATGGAGTTAATTTTTCGTTTACAGTAACTCGCATCCAATTACATATTATAGTCACTGTTACCTGTTATAGTTACTCTAACGTTATACCTTTGTTCCACATTAGGTTTAGTACAACAATGATGAGCCTAGATTGTACATCTTGTATTTGAAGTATTTTTCTATCTCTGACTATTTTTACCTTACTAAATATTTTTTGCGGGTTTTCATAGCTGAATTATTAAATTTATTTCAAAATTTGCTAATTTTTACATGGACATATGAAAAAATGTTTCTAAACTAATACGTCTTCAGGTCACTCTGACAAAACTGTACTTTTCAGGAGGATCAGTTAGTTTATTAACCTGAGTAACTCTGAGGTTCGATACCTTAAGTTTGTGGCTTACTAGTTTACAATGGTTTACAACTCACTTCTGATCTAGTATAAATAAACGAATGCACCCTGTATTGAACTCAGAATTATAGCCATAAACAAACGCACCCTATAATTAAGTCAGAATTGATTTAGAAATGTACTTAAAGCCTTCCCATTTTCAATTCGGTTTTTAGTTCTTTTATCACTTGATAACCTCACGTCAATTCAGTTTCACTTTTTCTACCTAAGATATGCAAAGTGTCAATAATTAAAGCAATTCCTTTTCAAAGTAAAGAAATATCTCTTCTACTGAAATGTTTGTTTGTTTGTTTGTAGGTAAGCATAAAGCTACACAATGGGCTATCTGTGCCCTGCCCACCACGGATATCAACACCTGGTTTCTAGCGTTGTAAGTCCGCAGACATGCTGCTGTGCCTCTAGGGATCACTCGATTGAAAAGATTTTTGCTTGAAAATATTATGTCTTCATTAAAGTTTTAAACACCTTAAGCTTTTCTTGAAACATGTTTGTATGAATATTACAATGATCCATAAAACATGTTTCAAAAGCAGGAATGTGTTACAATAAGAAATTTTTATGTAAATAGTGAGATCTATAAAAAAACGAGAATTGCGAATTGTGTTATTTTCACAAATATTTTTATAAAGTAATGCCAATGATCGTACCTAAACACGTATATTATCTTATAAACATAATGTTTCCTCATTTTCAAATACCTTATTTGATAATCATTAAAATAACATATATAAGTTTTGAATTTCCATATTTGTAAACTTATTTATTTACAGATTAATCAGTTTATTTCCGTCAAAATATAAGTTTGCTTTTTTTCTGTACATAAGATGTTTACTTTGAGTTGAAGGATAAGATGATTCCAGAAGCTGTGTATACACTGAGAACGAGTTTTAATATAGACCCTATACTTATATATATTTGTTATATTCCAATGATTACTAAATGGAATGAAAAGCAACTCTTTCAATATTTCTAAAAATCCCCCCCCCCCAATGGCTCAGCGGTATGTCTGTGGACTTACAACGCTAAAAACAACGGGTTTCGATAGTCGTGGTGGGCACAGCACAGATAGCCCATTTTGTAGTTTTGTCCTTAACAACAACGGTTGTACAGGTATGTTTTTGAATAAGTTTTTGTTATTAATACAGAGTAAGGAAGAGCAAGTTTATTTGTAAAAATTGTAGAATTCATTTTTTTTTTCATTTAATATCATAAATCTGAGTTATTTTTTATGTAAACCATATAAAAGACACAATTAAAGAATATTTGAATATGATTATTTTTTTTGTTAGTCTTTCCTTGTATAGAGTTATTTGATTTGTGGTTATAACTTTGCTTTTTATGATAAAGAATCGTAATTTGGGATAGCTACAAGTACCAGGCTTTCAAACATCTTCATTGTGTCTCTACGTATAAAAAATATGTTTTTTCAATGTGTATGTGTTTTACAGATTAACATTACATTACCCATTTAAGACTTTTAGAATCACTGTTGTGGGATCTTTTTCAGTTTGATCGGGTAAATGTTTTTTTTTTTTTTTTTTTTTTTTTTTTTTTTAGAAATCTTGGAAACAACCACTTCCTTAATCTTCCAACCAAAGGTTTACAAAATTTACGTCAACTTAAAACTTTCAACAATCCTAACCTGAAGGACTTTCCTCCTCCCGATTCATTCCCTCGGATCCATACTTTAGCTCTGTCGTATTCCTATCATTGCTGCGCTTTCTTAAATATTCTTCCAAAGTCCACTCCAGTTCCTGCCTCTCTGCAAGAGACTATAGTGTGGCTTTCCGAGGACGAAGTAGATATGAGTATATGGAATATCAATATTACAAACGTTTGGCCGGACTACGGTAGGGTTTCACTATATTGTTTAATCAATAATCTTATTGTTTTTCAGAATTTGTAATGGTTGCTGGATAGATTGAGACATTTTGGCAATAACGTTAGGAAAAAAACGACCTTTATTATTCAGATCATAATTTAAAAAACCGTATTTTAGCTGAAGTTTTGCCATTGCGGCTTCATCAGGGTTAGCAGTACAAAAACTGTACAATTTGATTGTTTTATTAAGCCCATGAAAACCGAACACAAGTTTGACGATCTAATGAGATTAACTTCGGACTTACAAGCTAGAAACTGGGTTTAGATATCCGTGGTGGACAGAGCACAGATAGCCCTTTGTGTAGCTTTTGTGTTTAACTACAAAGAAACCAACAAGCTACAGTACAAATATTACTGTAAACTGGAAACCAATCATATGAACAGAACTGCAAAATAGTGATGCATTTCTGCTCCTTAAAAAAACCACAAAATAATATATATTAATACGCATTTTACTCTTTATTAAATCACCAAAACTATTAAACAGTAAAACATTTTTTTTTTACATTTTAATATAGTAAATAATATTATTACCAAATGTGATCCCTGTTTAAGTTTAATTCAAGAAGCTGAATTATGAAACGGTGATACAGAAAATTTGTCGTCACGTAAAATAAATGTGAGGGAAGCGAAAAACTTGAAACGTTCGAATGAAATCTTACTGACACATAAGATTTTGGAAGAAGTCAGGAAAATACTTAGATATTATTCGAAAATAATTCTTAATTAATGAACATTCATGAACAACAATTATTAAAATATTTTAACTGATTAAAAACAACATTATGATTCAATTCGTAACATTCAATTTAAATTTTAGAGTTTGTAACTTTCCAGAATTTTATGAAAACCATGATATTAAATCGACATAAAAAAACAAGAATGAATTTTTTTACAGCAAACTTTTCGTCTAAATTTGGCGAATTTGCTGATGTTCTGTGGAAATCAAGAGGTTCTGATTACATTGTCCCTGACAACATAGATACATACGCCGAAGAATACTTTGAAGATTACAAGTCAGGGTACAATAATGAAGAGACTCTGCTTTCTGCCTACCCAGTCAAGTGTATACCTAAACCAGGTGTGTGTAAAGCATTTATTTTACTTTCGAAATGCTGCTACGAGTATTGTTACTACAACGAGTGCATTACTAGTATTAATACCATAATTAAAATTACTTTTCAGCCACAGTTATATTTGTTATCTTTCCAGCTATACGATTATGGTATTACTATTATTTTCATCTTTACATAAGTTCTATACAAGCATAATGTTTTCTCTGCCACTAATATATTTATAGTAGCAAGGCTTTCATAAACTTTGTATCATTAAAACTATTAAATTTTCGGTACTGTCTTCTACTTCTACAATCAATAACTATCATCATTGTTATGACCTTTATATCTACAATACAACTAAATTACGCTGACAGTGTCAACATTACAACAAACACTAACAATACAGTGACAATATTATTTGTAGTAATGGTAGATACACTAATTTTTACTTGATAATATAAAGTCATAATATTTGGAAACGACAACAGTGTTTCAATCTGTGATGAAAGCAGTAATTCCAATACTGTGTCTTTACCATAAGTGCGGACATTATTGTCGTCATTCTATTATGACTTTTTACTATGAATAGTATTATGAAATCAGAATTTCTGTCCCTGTCATAACTACAAACATTTTATTTTCTACTACTATCACTAATACTATGTAGTTTTTAATACCTCCAATATATCCTGCTATTTCTTCTCCAAGCCCAAGTGTTATTATTGTTACTACCGGTATTTGAAGTGAATTTGTAATCACACAAACATGATATCACCAAATATTTCAAAATGCATACTTTTTAAATCGATAAATTTCTGCACTCAGTACATCGAGATATATATATATATATACTGTAATGCGAAATTGTTATATTATTTGAGTACATTATATAATAATGTGCTTTAATATTCAATGTAGTTTGAGTACTTAAAATGTGTATTACTAGCTGAAGCCAGTGAGATAGCCCTTAACAGTTGGGGTTCATTTCCAAGGGCGGGGGTTGGCCTTATTGTAGAGGTCTGGAGTTCGGAGCTGGTGAACCGGGCTCGAATCTGTGCGATACCACAAAATATCTAGTCCCTCATTTTACCGTCACTTTAAGCTGCGGGTGCGTTGTAAGAGCGACAGTCAAGTCCTTAGCATGGATGGTAGGATGCTGCTGCTGACTGGCTGTCTTCCCTATGGTAGTAGCTCAAAATTAAGGACAGCAGCAGAAAACTTTAGTATCTTTGCCATAAACACAATTACTTGATTTTAATGCCCAAGAAACATATTTCGGTAAATGTTAGTCACCACAAGAAAGACTTTCCGAAAGTGCTCTTATTATCGTAGTTGTTTATACGACTTTATTTATACACATTTAAAAAAATATTTTTCCTATGTTTACTGAATAAGTAATTCATCTTGTCAAATATTCTGTAGCAACATGACTTGAAATAACTATTATTAAAATAGAAGTTACTGTTTCTATCCTCTCACATACTTAATATTAAAAATCACTCTCCAAGTCCATCTCCTCACAAACAAGTGCCCCACTCCCCAGTGGCTCAGCGGTAAGTCTAAGGGCTAACGATACTCAAATTCGAGTTTCGATACCTCTGATAAAGACAACACAGATAGCCCATTGTGCAGCTTTGCGCTTAACAACAAACAAACACAAACAAGTAAAACTGGTTTTTAGGTTTGTTTTGAATTTCGCGCAAAGCTACATGAGGGTTATTTGCGCTAGTTGTCCCTAATTTAGCAGTGATAGACTAAAGGGAAGGCAGCTAGTCAATATCACCTACCGCCAACTCTTGGGCTACTCTTTTACCAACGAATAGTGGGATTGACCGTCACATTATAACACCCCCACGGCTGAAAGGGTGAGCATGTTCGGTGACAGGGATTCCAACCCGCGACCCTCAGATTGCGAGTCGAAAGCCTTAACTACCAGGCCATATCAGGCCTCACTGGTGTTCATAAATAGCAAAATTAAATAGCGATTTTAAAACCTGTCAGAATCCAAGCAATCACAGTGTTTTCTCTTGTGGGTGATTCGTAGGTCCCTTTATGCCTTGCAAGGACCTCTTTGATTGGTGGACACTACGATGTGGAGTCTGGATTGTTTTCCTGCTTGCTATGTTGGGAAACGGCGTCGTTGTCATTGTTCTTCTTTTTGGCCGTAGCAAAATGGATGTTCCCAGATTTTTGGTTTGCAACCTGGCAGTAGCAGATTTTTTCATGGGCGTTTACCTTGGAATGCTGGCAGTTGTGGATGCTTCAACTCTCGGAGAGTTCCGTGTGAGTACACTGATGCTGCCTGAACAGAAAGGGAGAGAAGGAGACTTCATTTTAAAAATTATATGTTCACAACCTGATTTCATCAATATAATATCATTATTAGTAATATATCACATAAAGAAGACCAGTTTAGTATTATTAAAGTAAAAATTTCAATTCCTAATAAAGAAATGTGGTTTTAGTAATATATCACATAAAGAAGACCAGTTTAGTAATATTAAAGTAAAAATTTCAATTCCTAATAAAGAAATGTGGTTTTAGTAAAACTTTTACGTTCTATTTTTTCATTGAGAATTATTAAAATTAGTGTTCGCAGATAATAAATACTAAAACTGTTCTTAAATGCAATAAATAAAAAAACATGGTCTTTATTAGACGATTGCAAAGTAAAATTAAAATACCTTACGAAATTTTTGAGACACTCTAAATGTTAGTGTTTTAGTGTTTGATATATCTAGGCCAATAATTCAAGTCACATTGAAATGTATTTCTATTCTTTTCCTTAAACATATTGTAGTTGTTCCGATGCTTTCAAGGTTTAAAAGAATATTTGCTCCGTGACATCTTTCCTATGTCTATATTTTGTTGTTGTTGTTTTATTGAATTTCGCGCAAAGCTACTCGTGGGCTATCTATCTGCGGTAGCTGTCCCTAATTTAGAAGTGATAGACTAGAAAAAGCGGGTAGTCAACACCGCTCACCGCCAACTTTTAGATAATTATAATCTGATAGTGGAATTGACCTTAACATTATAAGACTCCTACGGCTGAAGGTTGACTACATTCGGTGATGGGATTCGAACCCGTGATCCGCAGATTGCAAGTCAAAGGCCCAAACTACTGTGCCATCGGTATGCCACTTAGCGATTAAAAAACTAAAAAACAAAACTGTTACTTAGAATATAAACAAGGTACTTTATATGTTATGAATTCTAAATTATAAGTAAAAATCATTTTGATTCACTGTTAGTTTTACGAAAACAACAGGGTAGGGCGTGGTAAAGTGGTTAGTGTGAATCCAAAAAATCCTGATTTGCGTCCAGTTGCCACAAAAAAAAGAACTTCGCACTTTGAGTCAATGGATGGTGGATATAAAAAAGTGAAGGACAAATGGCACTATACAGTCAGGCAAAAATAGCTCAAGAGTTAGTGGTTAACGTTGTTGACTACCTGCCTTTCTTTGGTCTGCTCCCCAGTGGCACAGCGGAATGTCTGCAGACTTATACCGCTAGAAACCGGGTTTCGATACCAGTGGTAGGGAGAGCACAGACGGCCCATTTTGTAGCTTTGTGTTTAACTACAAACAAACAAACCCTCTGCTCTATCAATTGAAAATAAAGTTAGGCTATGTGCAGATAATCTTTGTGTAGCTTTGCGTAAAAATTTTAAAACAAAAAACCTCATCTTTTGTTAAAATATATCAACTTATATACATGTATTTTAATTTTTGTGACGTGGTATAAAATTATATAGATAATATGAATCCTATATTAATTCACGTCGTGTGTTTGTGAACTTGTTTGTTTGTCCGCGAATTCCTCCCACAGTTTTGGAACTAGCACGACCTAATTAGCAGGAGGACTCGGAGTGGTCGGAGGGGGAGTGTCCTTATCTATATGGCGCAGCCCCCTATAAAGGGGGCGAAATGCGCCCAGATAGTCACCCAGGGGGTCTACTGTAGATTTGCTCGAATCAGGCATCGAATTTTGTTTTTCCGCCCCGCTTCCCCTCGATAAGGGTGTCATTTTTGAAACTATCTTCAAACTCCTTCTCACAAGCTAGCGGGACTAAACTTGGCACAAGTGCTTAGGCACAACACGTGGGTGTTTCAACATTGTTGTTGTTTTTTTTCTTTAGGGATACAGATGTTCCTTGGGGTAGATATAGAAGTAAATGAGGATAATGGAAAAACTTTATCGGTACATTGGGGCGTCTGTGAATCATGAGGGACCCGTTGGACCTCACAGTGAAGCATGGATATTTCATGCTAATGATAACAAATAAAGCACACAGCAAACCGTTTAGATAAAAAGCGTTCATGTTACCAAACTTAAAGAAGTCAGTTATGCATGTCAAAAGTAATCATTCGTTTTCAATAAATATTTAAAACCAGATACTTTATTTTAATTGCAGGTTTTTGCTATTGCCTGGCAAACATCGGTAGGCTGCCAAATAGCTGGTTTTCTGGGAGTTTTGAGCACTGAACTATCAGTATACACTTTGTCTGTGATCACCCTGGAACGGAACTATGCAATCACTCATGCCATGCACCTGAACAAACGACTTTCTCTTAAACATGCTGGCTACATCATGATCTGCGGATGGATATTTGCTCTGGCCATGGCTTTAATGCCTTTATTTGGGATTAGTGATTACAGAAGATTTGCTGTCTGTCTTCCTTTTGACACTAAGCTAGCAGCCTCTCTGAGTTATGTCGTATTTCTGATCCTTATCAACGGTGTGGCTTTTCTTATCTTGATGGGCTGTTACTTGAGAATGTACTGTGCTATCAGAGGATCCCAAGCTTGGAATTCTAATGATTCGCGAATTGCTAAACGAATGGCTCTTCTCGTCTTTACCGATTTTATCTGTTGGGCTCCGATAGCATTCTTCTCTCTAACAGCTGTCTCTGGACTGAATCTCGTCTCCCTGGAAGAAGCTAAGGTGTTTACTGTATTTGTTCTGCCATTCAACAGCTGTGCCAATCCGTTTCTTTACGCTATTTTCACTAAACAGTTTAAGAAAGACTGTGTGCTGATTTGTAAGAGAATAGAGGAATCACGAGTGACTCGTGGGATTGGCCGATACCGTCACAGTTCCAATTTCTCTAACAGACACACGCCAGCTAACACAAATTCTGCAGTTGAAAAAAAGAGTGCTGGAAATGATCTTCCACCTTGTCGCTGCGCTGTACATAAGGTCAGTGACGGAACTAGGTTATTGGGGAGAAGGAACCGGTGGAAAAGGCTGGCTATGAGATATTTTATGTGTCAGGATCATGTGGATGAATCGGAGACTAATGACTACACATATGCTATAGCGCGGATTCAGAAAAATATTCAACGTGGAGCGAAGCGAGCCTCAAGTATTTCAAGCGAGAACTTCTCTTCTCGTTCAGATAGTTGGAGACAAACAAATATTCCACTACGTTTATTAGAACGAGGAGGGCGCTCTAACGTTCCCCGAAAGTTTTCACAAGATTCTAACATGTCCTGCAGTCGTCAGGATTCTTCTTCTACCTCTACATTCCGAATGTCCCGATCAAGCGTCAGCAGCGACAGCTCAAATCCACGACCGATATTTCCTGGTTTACGAGAATGTCCGAGTCCCGTAGAAACAGGTCAGTTAAGCCGGCCTTTGGGAGGTGTTCGTGAAAAAACAGCCATCATTGGAGATCCGCCATCTCGAGCGATGCGTAGTATGGTGAGTGGTCCTCGTCTTTGCCGCCAAGCTGCAGTAGATGAAACGTGCAGCCAGAAACAAACAGTCATAGGATTCGACGCTAGGAGTATTCAGAAGTCTCCATCATTTTCTTCTTTACGACAAGATGTCTTGTGTCCAAGTTGTTCCAGAAGTCCACCTTTAACCCTCAAGAGTAAGGACCTTGAGGAGAAATTTAACTTTTTTTACAGCAGGTTAGGAGAAACTAGCCACGAAGAGAGCAGCGACATTTCTGTTTATAAAGACGAACAAGTAATAATTTCTAGTTTTCAGTCCATAGGAGATCAAAAGGTAGACTCGTCGAACACCAATGACACATCTGTTCCTGATTCTTCCACCCAAGATGATCAAGACAGTAATGTCACTGTCCATCCACAAATCGCTATTAACCAGAACTCAACAAACGAAACAAACAAGGATGATGAGAGAGATGATATGTGCCAGTGGTTGGAAGAAAACGAAAACTTGCAACAAAGTCAGGGAATGCTCCTCGTAAACAATGACATCGTCCACGATCCTTCGCGCCTCTATGTTAGTGCTGATAACGTATACAATCCCAAATCCCAAAGCATGACCAGTATCAGAATGAACAATAAGTTGAGTCCCAGCCGGAAAGTTGCATCTGACAACTCCTTTAAAAGATTCTCACTCAAAAACCTTCCAGATTTGCTGAGATCTCTGTCTAGTCAAAACACAAAGAAAATCCAAAAACTAAACGTAAGAAGTCATTACCACCTGAGAGCAAGCCTTGCGGGAAACTTGCGATGTTCTAAAAGTGAAATTACAATACATCAACATTTTCCTGACAACTCTACAGAATGGAAACTGTCATCTTCAAAAGAACTTGATCATTTAGCTCAAAGATACGACTCCAGCGCTGATGTATACGATAGTTGCAACAAGATAAAATGTAAATCTACCTTGCAAAAGAGTGTAGCTCCATCGTCAGTTACAAGCTTTACAAGGAGGCCTGATGCACAAAAGAACACTTCTAGACTATTCAACGAGGAATGTCCTCTAGGTGAACCTAAGGGACAAAATGGAAGCTAGAATAGCAGATTGCGCTTCCTACACTGACGAGTGAGTCATATAATACTGTGATAAATGTGAAAAATAGGATATTCCTTGTAAGTTTAAGTTTTACACGTTAATAGTTTCTGTTTTCAAAGTTCTAGTTCATTTGAAAGCTCTATCATGCATATAATTTTAATGAAGCATAAAATTGTTGTTGTCTTGCCGGTAAGTGTATAGTTTTTGTCATTGCTAAAGAAGCTCGCTCGTGTTAAACAAAATCTTCAGTTACACGTAAGAAAATATTTTCAAAACGTTTTCCCTCGTAGTGTTAGCTTAACGTGTATGAGGTTTTTTTTCTTAGACATCCATTTAAGTAATGGGTATTTTTGATTTGGATACGTATTTCAAATTAGAAATACACCAACAAACCGATTTAGTGCTATAAAATGACAAAAAAGAAAAACATGAACAACAATGTGAATAATAAAGTATACTGTTTTATGAGTTTAAAATACTAAGAAAAATTTGAATCACATGGATGGTTTACCTTTTTTCTTGCTATAAATTTGTATAGTAAGAAATACACGCAACTTGTTTTTTCACAAACACACAAAAATATTATATTGTAATTCATTGATCATGGATGTTTAGCTTCAATACATGAAGCCTAAGTATAAAGAAACACTAGTGGTCGATAGCTCAGACGCAAGACGCCTTATGTGGGTTAAAAACAAGGCGATATGTGTTATATGACGAGCTTTAAATTAACTTTTAACAATGATAATTATTGTATCGTGAACGTTTTAACAGCGAACTTAGCAATATTATGAATAAGGGTTAGAGATCTTGAAGTTAACTAGCTAAAGAAACTTATTGTTTGAAGTATATGAAGAAACACGTAAAATCCTTTGTATTTTGTTTTCTTGGCTTTTCTCTAAGTATAATTTGTTATATTTTGTTAATATACATATATGGCCAGATAGTTGGCTGCTATACATGTCCGTCTTATTCTGAATTCTGCTAATTTATAATAAAACAGCTCGATTTAGAAATCGTTGACATAACTAAGAATAATTCCAGATGAATTGTTGTCTTATTTATTATCCAACAATGACTGTTAGTCACTAAGTTTCTTCTTTAACAAGTGCTTTTGTCAAATCTTTTTTTTAAAGGTTTTCTTTTGTCGTTGTTGTTAAAATCTTCGCTTCAGCTTCCCTTTTCTCCTAAGGTAATATTAGGGTTAGATTATGGTATTTATTGATGTATTTTAATGTTCTCTAGAAGAAATAAGAAAAAGTTATTTCTCTCTACATTGTCGAAACTGTGTCAGGAATTGTTTGTTATTTGTTGTGCAAGAGGCTATCTTTACTTGTGTTTGTATTATATGTATACGAAGTACATTTATTAGAAAGTTCTCCTTTCTAAACGCAAAAGATCTAACAGCACCAACTACAAGATAGTGAAGAAAGTGTACGATACTCTGATGTATTGTAAGGACTTTCTAAAGACTATACAGGAAGGTCTTTACGCAAAAGATTCAACACATTTCCAATAAAAAATCAACCTATTTTATTTAAAGTAAATGGAGTCGAAATTACTTAAGTATGCTTTCAGCCTGTTGGATTTAAAACAAGCATAAAACACTACAACGAGCCGCTACGATAGTTCTTACAACTTCATTCTTAAACAGTAATAAAGAACGGAATATCAGTTTATTATTGGCTGTTGCCTCCAGAATCGCAGATATTAGATTTATTATTTACAAGTTGACCAAATTCCTCATAGTTTTTCAATAATCACAAATTTCGCCGATATTTCAACAAACTTTATTTGTTTTAGGCCAACAAAACATTTTGTTCTATTTCAAAACTAACCAAGCTCTGCACGGAATCTGTCACAAAACCAAATGTCTTACTTAGTTCTATGGTTATTTAAACCAAAAGATGTAAAACGAACATTACGATTTTCTAAATTTAATATCAGTACCCCAGTGATAATTCAAGCAAGTTTTCAGGTTATAAGTTGTTTTCAAAGTTACATACCTGCATTTCGTGTGCTCACACGAAAATTACGAATGTAATTTACAGCCTCCTAAGTTAAAATGTGCGTGTGTGGTTTTTGTATGTGGATTACTCGTACTTTGTCATTTCTCAGATAACCATGTCTCTGTGTTAAATGTTCCATTATCAATCTATATATCTCTATATAGTTTACGTATATTGTGTAAGAAAATGTGCCAAATTGTCTTTAATAGCATTTATTCTAAGCTTATCATCTTATATATTCAATTAAACCAGCGTCTATTGTTCCTGGGTTTGTTTATATGTTTTTCTACTTCTTATAGTTATTAAAAAAAAACAGTTCCTTAAATGCCTATGTTTTGAACCCATAATCTTTACAGGAAATTATCGTTTCTATTAGTATTATGATTATTATTACAGAACTAAGAGAAATATTACAAGAAACATAGAAAGATGCTGTGGAAGGTTCCAATCATTATTATTTTAAGAGAAATGTGTGTTAGGTAGGAAAATCGTGTACAAATATATCTGAGTTTGTTGTTACCTAAATTACTAAATAAATTATCATAATAAAGTTTAGTAAAGATTAATGGTTTGTTTTGTAGTTCAATGATACATTACTCCTCCTAAGCCTTAATCCACTTTGAGATTGGCCTTAACTTCTTTATAGAACGTGGCGTAAAAATAAATTTTTCACGTAACAAAACAACTACTAACTAGAATTATAATTGAGTTTTATGTCACTTTTAAATAAGTTGAAAGGTTATAAATAATTATTTTCGGTGTTTACTCGAGAAAAACTGACTGCTCCTGTTAAAACAAAGTTGAACATGGGATAACAGAAAACTTGCTTTAGTAGTAGGTAGTGTAGATTGTACTGGAATTATCTTTTCTATAGATGTATCTGTGGACGGTGTTTCGATCCACTATAGTCACATGTAGCTTATAAAATCGTCAAACCTATTATAGGTATGGTTTGAATTTCACGCAAAGTTTCTCGAGAGCTATCTGTGCTAGCCGTCGCTAATTTAGCAGTAATAGACTAGAGGAAAGGCAGCTAGTCATCACCACCCACCGCCAATTCTTGAGCTACTCTTTTACCAACAGATATTGGCATTGACCGTAACATTATAACACCCCAACGGCTGAAAGGGCGAGTGTGTCCGGTGATGGATATTCGAACCTGCGACCTGCAGATTGCGAGTCGAGCGCTCCAACCACCAGACCATATCAGGATCTCATTATAGGAGAGACAATTGGAACAACAACATATCATACACACATAAAATATATACTGATAACTCAATAAACAGACAAAAAACAAAACGAAAAGCAGTACATGGATAAAAGAGACAAGTAAAAGTTGGGTTAATGAGGCACCGAAGCGGACACTCTGATACAGCATCGATCAAAGGCCTTCCAGTTCACAAGATGCAAAGCAACTAATTGTGGTTAAACTAACGAAAAGGGATAACAAAACATATTTTAGTACCAAACCTTAACTGCCTCTTAATGTTCGTTGCTAAACGTGGGCACAACAATAGCCCAAGAGCTACTAGAATTTTGTACAATACGAGAAAAAAGAAGAAAAAATAGTCAATCAAATTCACTGACTGCCTATCTTACAAAAATTCGTACCTAATATCAGACTGAATTATTTTTCACCACAATAGCAGCTGAGTTTCAACGTGAAAAAATGACTCTATACAAGATACTTGAATGTATTTTGTTTAGTAGTAGCCCATTCATCAGAGTATGAAACGAATTTGGTCGCAGCTATCAGAATATGAAATTGGTAACAACTGTGACATTTAAGCTCCTTATAAAATTACTCAACTGAATTGAAACCAACTTGTTACTAGCTGGAATACCCATTCCCTGGACGGAAGTTTTGTAAATTCATGATTAATGAAAGGTTATCTTAGTACATGAAACGTGACTAGCTGGAATACCCGTACCCTGGACGGAAGTTATGTAAATTCATGATTAATGAAAGGTTATTTTAGGACATGAAAAATTGCTTCCCTTATATGCAATTGTAAAAATCGCAAAAAACGCCCATAAAAAATTGCAAAACACAAAATGTAAAACCGCAAGTTTGCATGTATCTCCCTATGGACCCAATGAACCTCCAAATCAAATGTGGTGAAGGTCCACCAATAGGAGGCGAAGTAGTTACATGGACGTACAACGGGCAGTACTATTATATTTATATAGATACTGTTTAAACAATATCACAGAAGTCGCTGTCAGACTCATCGAAACAGTGTAGTACAACATGAGTAGTGTGGATTGTTTTAACATTACCTTAGAAGAATCTTTGTTTATCATTGTTGAAGTCCTATATTATTGGGTGAACTTCTCCAGTAACAACGTTCGGATTTACTCTGGATTTATTCACCCCTATAAAGGAATCATAGAATTCCTTCCATGCTATGAAACAGTTTCCCATACTATTGAAGTATGTCCAGCACCTTACACTATTGAAACAGTAAATGCTTCAGATGATTTTATTTATACTTTCACCTACTATCAGGACTGAAAAGGGTGTATGGTTATTCAATAGACCACCTTAAACATTTTCAGTCATTCAGTTTGCGCTGTAAGGACCATTAGAAACATGTTTTTCCTGTTTGCATTTGTTGCGTGCAGTGTTCAGACAGGTTTTAGAATGCCATATGAAATCTGTTATCATGTCCTTCCTCTTTGTTCGAATCAGTCAGCTGGCACACAATCTATTGTCTTTACAGGCCAAGTGGTTAGCGTATCGCAATAAAAAACGTACTCGGCAATTGTGGGCCATGGGGTGTGTTATAAGAGTGACGGTGAAACCGAACTATTCGGTCTCACAGAGTAGTCCAAGAGTTTGCGGTGGGTTGTGCCTTCCCTCTAGCCCATCATTTCAAAATTTCAAAACCTGGATAGTCAACCAACGTTACCAATGAAAATGTTGCCCAGTTCAGTCATCTTCTTGCCCCCCCCCTTTTTTTTACTCACACACTTTTTGAAAACTTAAACCCAAATTTTTAAACCAATG